CATGCTCAACTACTGTGGCCTGAGACTTTGCAAAATTACCATTCTCGGAACGGGCTGTTTATATGTAAATTTTCAAGTCGAAATTCGAAAATCATTTTTTCTGGTGTTCCTGAGGAGGACCACAGCTTTCATTTAAAAACATATCGTAAAAGTGCCGTATCTCCGTAGCAATAAACTAGCAGCCTAAACTTTTTTCAGAGTATTCATAACTTTTTTGCACCTACATAATGCGCATAGTCTCAACGCAAAAGCCATTGATCAGTTGGGGACTTTCCCTCGTTCGTCAAACCCAAATCATCTTAAAATTTATATTAGAACATTATGTTGTATCTATAGGAAGTATATTATTAAGATCAGAACTCAAAAGAACTATTTATTATGCTTTCTTATCATTTTTGTGGGAAAGCAGGTTCATTGAATATCAAACTTAGTGTAGAATACCAGCATTGGAATTCTCCTTTATGAACGAATAAAACGCAATAGACATGTTCAGTGAATCTTAATAATTGTATAAAAGAATTATCCAAAGTTCGTACTTTTGTAGGTAATTCACATAAACTCTGATTTTCCATGAACGGACACAGAAATAGTATACTAATTAATTTACTAAGAAATAAGATAAAGAACATCTCGCATTTTGGTTGCTATGGCAGTGGTCAGGCTTTACATGAATTAGCATGAAATTTCAGCTTTTCGAAAATGTAACACTTTGACACTCGATCAATAAATTCGAAACCTTTTTTCAACATCATATCGTCAGTAGCAACCGTTTTTAGAGTTCATCGTGGCGCAGAAACGGAGGTTTTTAGTTGCAATAGATATTTCCATCAAGTACATTTAATAATACATGCCAAACAACTAACAATGCAGCACGTGCTCTTACTGATAATGAATTCAAGATTTCGGATCATATGTGTGTATAAAAAAAAAATTGCAAATATTTTTGCAGCCTTGCTATATGAATTCACTGTGTATTTATTCATTTATATTGAAAACTTTGATAAATTGCCATATAATTCTTTTTACTTTAAAATGAATCTTCTTCTGTTTTTCTAGTATATTCCAAAACCTGATCATTATTGTGATTCATTAAGTCTTTTAAAAACTGTTAAATCAACATCCGATACTAATCAATCCATAAGTCAATATATAAATTTATTAAAATTATATTCTTCATCATGTTTTATGTCAATGTCAGCAATGAATATAAATCTTGATATACTTCTATCAAATTCTATATTACATTTATTATCATTTTTTAAAGATATATCTTTAGAAAATGATACTATTGAAAATTATTTTCAATGTATTAAAAATATTCTTAATTATCGTGAATCAATTGATGATGTTACTTGGGCAAGACATGTCTGTATAAAAAAAAGAAAACTTCAACAACAGTTTATTTAAAAATTTATTTTTCTAGAATAAAGAACTTGAATGTACACCAATACGAATGTTATTTAAATTAGGAAAACAATTAAAAAATTTCAATCAAACATCAGAAAATCTTTCATCAGTAAAAATTATATTGTTTTAAATTTAAAATATTTGACAAATATTTATTTTAAGATTATTAGTAAATTTTCTTCAATGATAAATAATCATGATCAAGAAATAATCATATGGATTTATACATGGTTAAAATTAGGAATTAATGAAAAAATTGAACAATTTTTATCGAATATGATTGAAAAAATTATTTTAAATCCATATCCACTTGTTGAAAAAACAATTAAACAAAGCGGGTAAAATTTATTTAATAAAAATATTTATTTTTTTCTCATTATTTTTCTGTGTTTTTTTTTTCTCAAGATATAGCTTAATGATTTATTCGGCTCTTGATACAATTCAACATACCAAAGAAGGTTAAATATAATTAATTATTTATCTACATTTAACATTGAAAATCTTTAGATATTTCAAATGAAATTCATGAGTATCTATGTCATGTTATTTTTCAAATCTATATTGGACAAATAAATCAACCATCGGACAAAGTTCATCAACATTTACGAAAAATTTATTTAAAAAATAAAATAGATATGAAGATTAATCAATTACTTAGTATAATTTCATCACCGGATAAACACAATCAAGTATGTCAATAATACGGATGTCGTATTAGCATTAAATTAATTCGCCCCATAATAAAAGGACTTTCTTAGTACAATTTGACTACCCATACACCGTCACATGTGTAACTATAAAAACATCGTAGAACGTGACAGACGCCTTAGCAACACCCCATCGCCCCAAAATGTTCGACTTTCTGTCAGTTTCTTACAGCTTCGTAATAACTTTAGACAGAAACCGAATTTTGAAACACCATTTACTTTTCTCTAACGGGAAATGAAATAAAAATAAGCAGAAAATGTCGTTGCGAGGTAATTAGCATTGGAACAGATCTCAAGTAAGGGACAGCCTGTTGTGAGAGGCTGAGTCACTGTGGGTCTCGTTCTTCTCGCGTATTTGAATAACGTCTCAATCTAATAGATGAACTATTTACTTATTGAATTTCTAGAGGATTAAGTAACAGGATGGTGAAGAAGTGTGTCCCAAAAAAGATAGAATAAAACAATCTTGTAATTAGCAACAGCAGCCTTAATCAGTATATTCATATTAAAATATTCGTAGTTTTCATACTTTTGAATTAAAACTCTGAAAAGGCTACGGGTCAACATTATATCTTGTCTTTAAAAATTCTTTTAATTTTCTGTAAAAACTTTCAGACTATCAGTTCGAAAAACAAATGGACCACAATAGAAGATTCCTTTGAAAATTTTGTACGATTGTAAAGGGAGAAATAGCTTTATTTTGAATTCTAATCTAATGCTAATAGAATATTCCATAGCCAATAACTAAATATTCATTTGGATAATTTATTTATTTGTTTGTTTGTTTATTTGTTTTAGATTTTAATGGATGAAGTAAATAATATTGAAAAATCAATTCTTGCAAATATTGATTTAGAAAAAGGTCCAGATAATATGCAAATAAATTTAGCAATGAAATTAAATATATTCAAAATATTTGCATTACATGTAAAGAAAAAAAAACCTTTTTTATGCTATTATGAAAACTTTTTTTAGCAAGGAAATTCAGTTATTTTTGTTTCAACACACAAAAATTTACATTGAGCACTATAAATAAAAACTTTTTCTCCAGCCATTTAGACAAATAGTTAAAGCTTGATTGTAATGTAATCTACTGATCTAGTATTAGATTATGGGTGTGGATGTGTTAAAGAGAATATCCACATCGACACCCTCAAATTCAGCAACTAGTATGCCCTACATATTTCTTAGAGATGTCGGCAGTGATCGAATAAGAGTGTAGTCATAATTGACTTTTACTTTTAGAGTAGCAATTGTCGAATCAGACCAGGAGGGCACTGAATAGCAGCTACATCGTATTTCATATTTTAATCCCAGAGACATTGGGTGAACAGGTTTTTGTATAATTTTAATAAATTTTTAGGAAACTAATACTTCAAGATTAATCACTGAAATGATTCAATGTTTGAATATTGTTCTTCTTCTTCATGATTCTTATCGTTCATTTGAAATTCTTTTTGATAAAACAATTGAACATATTGAATCTTATTCATCATCAATAGAAAATACTCAAATAGTTTCATTAGTTTGTCAACTTATCAACGGACTTGATATGTCTCATCAAACATCAAAATCACTTCAACATTCTAAAATTTTATTAAAATGTCTTGAATATGAACCAAATAATTATCGTCTTATTTATTTTACTTCTAATTATTTATCATCAGAATATCGTATGGCGTTTCTTAATCTTATTTGTCAAAGATTTACGGATAATATTGATATTTTAAAAATTATTATCAATGAAATTAAAATGAATAAAGACGTTAATGATGAACAATTTTTAGANTTTTCTCTATTTATACATTGACTCATTTATTTATTTATTTATTGCTCGGTCTTCTCGTTTTTGTTATACCACATTGCTAATTCAAATTTACACTTTAAAATCACACGCATACCCACACCCACACCCTTGTATGTTGCAAGTTTCACATTTTATTCTCATGAATTGGTCTTGTGAAGAACACAAAGAATGAGAAAAAAGAAAAAGAATGAGAAAAAAGAAAAAGATTGAGCACTCAAGTAACGTAGGAAACATACAATCCAGTTGTTATTTTTTTCTGTTAGCTCGCGTCACAGACTTCAAAATAAACTTATACCAGAAGAAATATGAATGACGTAGTTGCCAATCAGAACTGTCATCGTCATTGTTGTTGAGTTGCTACTATTTAAGATTTCATCAACACATTTAATATTGAAAATGGGTTGTGGTGTACTATACACGACGTATACGCAACAAGATATTGACACTGAAATCGCCGCTTTGACACCTCGTTTACCTGTAGCCGTGCTTATGAATGGTGGTATTATCAAACTTGAAGGTGCAAATGGATTTTTCAATCCGAATTCTCTTCTCGATCCGAGTTGGCTAAAAGGTAAAATGACACCGCAACAATATTACGAAGCAATCGATTATATTAATAAATGCACGGGTTACACTCATATTGGTCTGACTAGGGCTTTTCCGGTATATGAACGACAGATGCGTCAACAACTACGAGTTCAAGCAGGAACGGCTGCAGTACAGACGATCAATGAAAATAATCCATCAGTTCATTTTACTTATCAACAAACAGCTGAAAGCAAAGCAATGGATACAAGTTGGAGTACAGATCCAGCTATGCGCTATATGCAGCAACGTCGTGCTCCAATTGGTCATTCCTCAGTGACGGAACTTTATATTACTGTCAATTGATTTATGTTTGGTTTGGTTTTATTTAAGATGCATCATGAATAGATTCGAAAGAATTACAAGTCCGGTATGAAAAGAAAACATGTGATCAACAGATGTATCATATCAAACATATTTGTTTTTTGTTTTTTTACTCTATCATATGGAATCTATCAACACATTTGTGAATAGATTTGACAAATAATTTTGAGAATAAATCATTGAAGATTCAGCTATTTTCCAGTTAACCCTAACAGTGTGAAAATTTAGATTCGATGATTTTGTATGTACTCCTGCATGGTGATGACAAAAGAAACCAGCGTGCCCTATTCGCTATTCGACGATGAAATAGACCCATTACGGAGAATACCCTTGACATTTCGCACTACGTTTGCAGTATTTTTTGTAATCTATAATAGTGGCAAGTTGGTGTGGATATGCGTATCTGCCTAGATTTTAATCTTCTCTTCATTCAATGCTCACACTTTCATAAATTCAGTGGAATATTTGCATAGTTATCATTTTCAGTCGATATGAGACAAATAAATCTCTGATTAATTTCTCTACGACGCTGCGAGCATTTTGATAAAGATAAAAAGTGTTTTTATTAGCTTAAACTTTCGATGTTTTCCTGGTGACCTTTCTACAACACACCAGATCCTTTGACAATACGAAAATATAGTGTTTCTTGTTAACTGAGCAAGCTATCATTTTATTTACATTCTGCCCGTTAGACTGTATCANTGTGCATGATATTATATTGGTCTGCTGCTCTTGCCGGAAGCTTTAGTAACTTGTAATAGAGCAAGTTAATAATATCAACCAGTCACTATCATTCATTGTTCATGTAGCAAAGCATATTGAAGTAGATACGAATATTTTTTGTTTACTTTGAGTCCCTTTTTTCCGTTCTGTTATCACGTATGGAAAACACACTCTGCATGTCTCTCGCTTTTCTTTCTGTACCTTCAAGTTATCCAAGTGCATTTTCTTTTCTTCCCTTTCCTTTACTTCTGTTTACTCACTATCTATCTCTTTTTATCTGACTCATGTATATTCTGGAATGTTCTTTCTTGACCGTGTAAGTGTGTAGGTAAATACCTTTATTTACGTGAGTCTATGCTAAGCAACGTATATCAGAGAGAAGGAGAGAAATGGAATCGACAACAATGGTGTGGGTGAGTGTGGATGTTGCTTATTCTTCTTCAATCATCCACAGCCACACCCATAAGTTTCGGAAATTTTTTTAAGAAGCCTAGAAATTTACATGTTACGGGCCAATGGAAATTGTTTAGCAGAAATTTTCTTTCTACTGAGCAGTCTCGTGTTTTACTTTAATTGCTGTCAGGCTTAGGTTTTGAATATAAGTTAATATTTTTTCTGTAGTTAACTATTACGATTAGTAAATGTCAAATAATTTCTATTTGATAACTGAAACTTCCTTGAAGCCAGGATTTTTTTCATGGGAAGTGTGTTATATGATGTATATATTATTAGAATCACTAACGAACCAACGGCATATTAGACTAGCTAGATCCTTGATAAATTGTTATATATTATGAAAATAAAACAAACGTTCTTCATATAAAAGAAAACATCCACTATTCATGTCAAATGTTGATTGAAGGATCCAATAACGAACATACAACCATGGAAAATTATCGATCAACGAACTCCGTCATTAAGGAAAACAACCAAGAGAAAAGAATAACGAATTTATGTAACTGAGAATATCAAAGAAACAAAGGTATTGTAGTGAAAGTAACCAGGAAAATGTTTCTACACAATGAAAAAAGATAAAAGTACTTGCGGATGTGCATTTATGCAAGACAAGATAAATAATGGACATATTTATTTTTAATAGTTACAGTACTATCCTCCTTTATAATTTGTCTCTAGTATGTTCGATAAGACAATTGTAACATTTCAGAGATGAGATATTACAGAATACGAGTTAATCCGATCTTCACTTCAGCAAGCATTTGACAAATGCATTCTTGCTTTAACACATTAAGAATTGACATACACGAAGATTTAGCTTTTTTTGTCAAGGAACGTCAAGTAAAATAGGTAACAATAAAACAGTTTACATTCATATTTATAACAACTATTTAGATGATTAAATGGTTTTCAGTGAATGAAATTCAGATATACATATGGATTTCCTGTGTATTCCTAATGTGTGAGTAGGTCAAAAATAGAATAAATTTTTTTGTCTTTAAAATATTACATAGTTCAATAGAGTTCATCAAGTTCTAGAAAACTGTGTATATTAAATTATTTTTTTGAAACCATATTTTGAGATAAAAATTTTTAAATACTACGAATATATCTACGAAAAATTGAGTATTTTATTCTATGAAAGAAAACTTGCACATTTTCNTTAATCAGTAGCTCAAGTTCCATCGAAGTATGTTTAAAAGGGAGGAAAAAGCTTAATTTCAGTTTTTATTTGCTTTTTCTTCAAATGCTCGAGCACTTCATGGAGATATTTCTATCGAATTTGATAACATCAATCAAATATTAGAAATTCAAAATAAATATGCTGAATTAACATGGAAATATCTTAGTTATAAATATGGATATTGTCAAGCTATTCGAAGATTTATTAATTTAATTCAATGGTTTTTATCCATAAGTACTTTCATGTCATATGCACATAATGCTCCAACTTATGTTAATGATATTGAATCATTAATTGAAGAAACAGAATTAACGCTTATTTTAGATGATGTAGATGATATTGCTCAAGATGATTAATATATCTTTGCAGATAATTGTAGTTTCTATCGATTTTTCAGATGTTTTAAAAACCGTTCTGGTTCATTCTACTACTGGCAAATAATTTGAATTTCCTGGATTTTGAATGCTATTGTGTAAGAGTACCGAAAATTGAAAAAAAACAGGATTATTTGACTAAACTCGAATGAATCCGAACGATTTTTAAAAGATCAGGAAACGCAGAACCTGTTGTGAGGACATCAATGCGTTAAATTCACATTTAATATTAATATAAATTCATTCATTCTACAAGAAAATTATTCTTATTCATAATATCAAATTTCATTTACAGTAGTTGATGACTACAGAAAAAAGGAAAGAATTAATCAACGTTGCTTTTTAATGTCGAAGGAAAACATATTTTTATACTGTTATCAAATAAACAGGCTTTTAATATTGTATTAGAAATATCATGTTAATATTTTAAAGAAAAAACTTGTGTTTGTGAAAGACAAAAATATTGTAATGTGTACGCAAATAAAAACTGAAATTAAGCTTTTCCCTCCCTTTTAAACATACTTCGATGGAACTTGAGCTACTGATTAAGAAAAACAATTTTTTTTTAAATACTATTTTCTAGTAGAAAAAATCCAAAAACTGAAAGGAAGTCTTTTTTGCACAAACACTCACTATTTTCAATTCATAAAGAATTTTTTCGTTCCACTCTTTTGTTCTGCTTCTGCGACTAATTTGTTTCAGATCCAGAGCTAAAAACTCAGTATAAATATGCTATCAAATTGAATATGATCCTAAAACTCTGTTGATGGAGTGGCGATCTGAATCAGTGCTATTTACATGCTTATAGTTCTTGTTTATTAACCTTTCAAAGTTTTTTGTGTAAATCTTTCATTTCATCAAAACTAAGCTTTCATGCAATAGAATCATCATATTTTTAATCAACGAAAAAAATTGAACCGACTGATGTATGTTTCACGAATTTTGGTCACCTTTAATTTTTGGTGACTTTTTCATCCATCGTTTCAGGGTACATAGTCGAAAAACACTGAAGTTCACGGAAACAATAGACTTAGACGTCATTCGACCCAGTTTTTAACGCTGAACCTGAACAACTTAGTTGCAGAAACAGAACAAAAGAACGGAGCGAAAGATTCGTATGAATTGAAAATAATGTGTTTTTGAAAAAAAAAACGATTTCCTCTCAGTTTTTGATTTTTGTCGACTAGAAAATGCTAGTGAAAAAAACTAAAAACTTGCTTTTCTTAATCAGCAACTCAAACTCTATCGAACATGAAAAAAAACAGAAAAAGAAGAATCTTACTTAAATTTCGACTTAAGTACATCTTATAGAATACTAAAATAACAAAATTATGTATACAGTAGCAGACAAAAGCTTCTTTCCTCTCTACTATCAGATCTAAACTCTTATCAGTATCCGAGTTTTGAAATTTGTTGTGCACATACATTGCCAAGAATGTAGATCAGAAACATAATTCTATCGCGATTGCCTCAGGATAAAGAGAATTATAGTAAATGGTGTCTATCTTTGCATTAAGCTATTTAACTTGAAATTGATTGTCACATTCAATTTTGTACTGTTTTCTATCATGTTTCCTCAAATACTGACGCCTCTATATATTTCTGAATTCTCAATATCATCAATAAAAGACTCGTATCTATGCCGTTTCGTATTAGTACACAGTTTGTTTATGAAATTTGAGAAGAGTAATGCCCAAGTACAGGGATAAGTTTTCCAAGACTTTGAGCTTCATTAAATGAATTACTACCCTTTTATCGTCTTAAGAGAAGACTAAATGATTTCTGTTCAAACCAATAGTCACAATAAAATAGCGATTTTTTCATCATAGTTCTCTCTATATTTAAATAATCAACACAGAATTATGCCCCTAATCTACGTTTTTGACTAAGTCTCTCTAAACAGATATTTTCAATGCTTGAGTTTCAGAATATATACTTGCTTTTGTTAGAATATTAATTTATCGCAATGAAATGGTAAAAATATTAAATTTAACTATTTTTTCTTCAGGATGATATATGGGACTATTTACCTGTTATTCTAGTACTATGTATTGATTGTCAAGAGGCATTTTCTAACTTGAATATAAATCAGCTAACTTCTAAACCGTTCTTGTGGTTTTTATCATAAAATGAAGTTAATATAAATGAAACGATTGAAATTATAGAATAGTTCTTAGTATTATAGAAAATAAAAAACAAGCCGTCTTAAATATACTTCATTTTCTAAAATGTATAAAGTAGATTATTTGACAAAATATGTCGTACTTTCAATGATGCTGTTAATCAGAATAATTTGTGGTATAATGATGAAGAAGAAGTCGACAGACACAATCGTGAAAAATGAATAGGATTGAGATCTCAGTAAACGTGTTGACAGTTTAAACTGAACAATTCAAGAAAACTGAATCAAAGAGCCGTAGTTAAGAATCAGTTCTTTCGAACCATTCAAGTGAATATGATCTATTTTATCGTTCTATGTTGAAGATCACTACTCAACTGACTCTATAATTAAAGTCGATTCGTAAAAATTGAACAAAAGTGTGTTGTTGCCACATTTTTTCCAACGAACAGAACCTTTTTTTTTCTATTTTGCTGAATTAACCTTGATTAGTGACTAAGCTAAGCATCGATTCCTACTACGATAGAAGCAATTTATATTTGCTTTTATAGATTGAAACACTTGACCAACAACTCCAGGTCAAATAGAGAGAACTATTCCAACAGTCACAGTACCTTGATCTGGATCCGTTCAAAGTGTCTTAGATATAAGTTATAGTACTATGGGCAAATGTCTTTTGGTAGAACTTGAGGCCATTTTCTTAAACTAGGATAGCTCTGTATCTGAAGTAAATATTAGATTATTTCGAGTCTGTCACGACTTTTGGACCATACAATATCTTTGTATTGCAGTCATCTGTGAGTTGTGAATGTATAATAATTGAAGAACTGTTAGTATCTGTGTTTTATGTATTGGAAATCTATATAATTAATTCAAAGAAAGAAAATATAGATAAGGTTGCATATATACGTAACAATAAATTTGATCAGTCCAAAGCTGGGACTACCTCCTGTTGCAGTAGATCAAGTATTTATTTTTCAGTCGTACTATCTAATAAAACAGTTTGTCACATAATACCCTAGAATTCTTATCTTGGGACAGTCAGGGATATTCTTTTTTTATGTTCGACTTCTATCAGTCACACACTTATTGTTCTTGATCCTAGTTTCATGTCTGATAATTTGATACTGTATGAGAGGCAATTCTTCTTATCTCGATACGTAACACTTCTATAATGTTGATCTCGAGTACAACTTGCAAACACTCAGTCGAAAAAGAAGAACTATGAGGATAAGATAAGTAAATTAGTTTTCTGTAAATCTCAAAGCGTTGATTTTTTTTCTTCCAACTAACTACTTTGATATGAATTCTCTATATCCACTGAACTAGAAAAACACTGCGAAATGAAATACATTCTGTAGAATGGCAAAAAATGTCAGCAATTGTTCATCCAGTCGAATTTTATTTGTAATCTGAGAACTATCAATGAGAGATGAAATTATAGTCAAATAGTTAATGTTTAAAAATGATTCATTTTCAAATATTCACTATTGTCTTACATTTTTTCAATGGGATCATGTCTTTTAAATATACATTAAATATAAGTTTACTGCGCCACTTTTTAAAAAGAATATGACTTCGCAGGGTTCTACTCAATTTAGGTTGAACACTGATGTTTTCAGAAAGAAGAGAGAGGTTTTATATCACACAAATTGTTTATTTATATAGTTCTTCACTCAGTATCCAATCAATAAACGAAAACAGAAATAATTATCCACAATCTGGTCACATCACCATAAATAAACATTAGAAAACAACACTAAAACTTAAGAATTCACTTTCTAGTAATACTCTTAAATGATAAATGCTACTTTCATTAATTGATGATTCACATAACTCATATATAAGCGCTAGTAATCATCGTGCCATTGTTATGCATCACCGGTACTTTGTCATTCATTGAAAACTACGATCCTTTTTCTGCGGTTCATATGAATCGAGTTCCCAGTTACGTGTTGATCGTTTGTTTGTCTTTGTATACGTTACAATATCCTCTAGCAGACATGCTATTTCATTGATCTTTCTCCTTGCTGTGTGGTCCCAGCAACAAAATCGTATAAATATAAATGGTAATGCCAGTGTATAGTAATCATCTTTAACCGAAGAGATATCATATTGTGAAACTCCGTACTTGACCAGTACTTTATGGTACAATTCGAGAATATATGATTCGACTGAACGCGCCCGTTCACTATCGAACATTCGTAGTAAGAACGCAATATCGATCAATCCATTTGCGCGACAACAAGTTTGCCAGTCAACAATTACGAACCGGTGAGATTGGTCATGACACATTAGTACATTATTGATCCAGAAGTCACCATGTGACACAGTGTATTTTTCATTGCTGAGCTCATGAAAAAGATGTGAAAAATGCGTCGGAAGTGTCATTGCATAAGTATATGCTTTCTTGGACAATTTCGACTGAAGGAGGTCTGTGTAGTTCTTGTCAGATATTCTATTTTGGTACTTGGTATGATGATATGAGAGATTCGAGCTTAGTACTGGCAACCAAGCAAACTCCTCATATTTTAGCATTGGGTGCTCGAAAAATTCTGCATGCAGAGATGCAATTGTTGTTACCAACAAAAACAAAGTCGAATCGTCAATGGATTTAGGTTCACCTAACGCTTTGAAAGTCAAAGATAAATCTTCAAGAAGTAGTACAGTTTCGTTAGAAGTATGGTTATGTCGAGCAGCATAGTAGCAATGTGGAACTTCAACGTGAGAAATTCGTGGTGCAAGCTTCAAATAAAATTCGACCTCAATCGATGCCACAACACTATTCCAAATACCTGTCGATAGTTTTAATACCATACAGTTTGGTAAATTTGTGTCGGTCACTGACAAGTACTGAATGTTATAGAGGCAATAAAGAGAACCACCCCAACCTCGGCCTATTCCGATTCGTTTCGACATGAACGAAGTTACTTTTATTGATCTAGTTGATAACTCACAAAGCATTTCAGACAGAATTTCGGACGTCATCTCGGTAATTGTACTAGGAAACATGGTAAGAGACGATACCATTAACGGCAATGCATTTACCTGTGCACCCCAAAGATGATGTTGTATAATATATGAAGTGATACTGTCAAGTTGAGTGCATGATTGAAGTTGTTCATATGTTACTGAAGAACTGCGTGCACACGATCGAATAGCAGTAGACGAAAGATTAAGATTTGCCGTTCGAATCAAATGAAACCTGTAAAATATGGTAACGATTAGGTAGAATTATTTTAAAAAAATCACTTATACCTCTCTGGAAAGGAAGACAATCGTCGCATTTCTTCCCACCGTTTTTGATGACAATCTTCAACTATAGTAGGAGCATTATTTGTTTTGATTACAATCTCATTCAATCCACGATTCAGTACATATACTGAATGATAGCCTAGTTGAAGAAATTTGTCTGGCAATGGATAACAAAGAGCATCTTCTCCTTTTAACCAGAAAACGTCAATTCGTTCTATATCATTAAGTTGTGAGCGAACACGTGATATAAATGTTTTCATTATGACGTATAATGACGTGTGACGTGGCTGGAAAGTCTCAAACAAATCGATTATGATCCAATCGAGATTCTCGATGGCAAGTTGAATCATGGCGAGACGATGCCCAGTACCAATGCGCTCTTCTGGACTTAGTTTTCTCGCTGCATAACCAGAATGCGAGGGGGAAATGTATGCACCAATCAATTCATGTGTTCCAAGATTATCAATATACTGCTTTGCTTCTTGTAGAACATTCAGATGACCGGCATGAATTGGAGCAAAAGAACCATTATAAAAGCAAATGGCTGGAATCAAATTTGTTTTTAATAACTTTAATTGATGTCGAGGCAATTGGGAAATGTCTTTGGGTTCCAGCAGACTTCCAAAGCATGATGATGATGCAGTTTCTGATGTTGTATTAAAAGCCATTACGAATCGAATGATCAAGTTTCTATGATTATATTTCAATAGTCTTGTGCAATAACATATAAAAAAATGCTTTTTACATATTAAGTGGCTCATAGAATGATGAATCATTATATTTACTTGCTCTTATCGCTTGATTACAATGCAAAAAAACGAAGAACACCATCGCAGTTACTTTACTTTCTTCGACTTTTTCCCCAGTTGTCTCCTATATGTTTTTTTAGCAATAGCCATGTTCGAACGATTTTTAACTATTTTTCTTTTCAAAATTTTATCAAAGTTGATATGTCGAAACAAAATCTGTATTCAATCGTTTGAATGATCACGACATGGTGTCTGAAAAAAAAGCATATGAAGTCAATGTGTACTAATCATTCTATTTAAATACCAGTTTTGGCTTGTAAAAATGAATATGATCAATTGTAAAATCTCTTGATAAACGAAGCATGAAAAAGAATATGAGCATATAGAATAGAATTTTCAACATGGTAGAGCAGTAGTGAAACAAATTACCTTTACATTTGGGAAGAATTAATATTCTTCTTGTTTCATGCTTCGTTTATTCGCCTTTTACTCTAAAAGCACAATAAGGAGAAATTCACCCGTTATTCTGCGTATATAAGAGCCCAACATGCACTGTATGCTCTATTGAGCGAAAACATTGAGCAAAACCAACGATTTGTCTCTGTCAAGAATATCATCAACCAAGAATTTCAACAGATTAGAATGATAAGAAGAAAGTCTATGATGTGATTCAAGTAAAAAAGAAACCGAAGACAAAGAATGCGCGATCATTTCACCGAATGATAGTAAATAGAAAATCGATAGTAACTTGTAACGAGCTAACTAGCAAAGAGCGAACGACGGTCAACTGTCGAACGTCAACAAGATTCGATGGCCCATGATACTATTAGACACACTCAACAAAAACGTGCATGATGATCATGCAGGTCTCATTAAGCTTTCATCACTTAATGACATCTGTGAAACTTTCTTGTAATTTTCTTCTCGTCATATTTTCTGAAGAACATATGTATCACACATACTCAGCTGTGTATATCCAAAGCTACAAATTGTTTTCTGTTGTTCGCGATTACGAAGATTTTTATGAAGTAAGCAGCCTATTTAAATAAAGGAAAATATATATATAGAGCTTGAGCAAACACAGTCATGTGTCAGTTTACAATGAGATATTGTAACAGATGCTTGCAGCTCCATTTCATTCTTCTCTGCTTTTCAGATGACTACTTTTTCATGTGAAGTAAGTCACAATCCCTATACAAATAAATTTTCTATAGCTGTTTAGAAATTGATGTGCGAAACATATTCAATTGAAGCAAACATTCGATCACATTTGCCTTTTTTTCTTGATATGTATCAACATGTGTCTGAAAAACATTAAGCAAATAAAAACGATTATGTTCGACGAAACGTCATAATTAACCATCATATTAATCTACTCGGAAAACATATCGATTAGAGTGTCTTTCGAAAGAATCAAATCTTCTCGACATTGGGAAAATCTGTTCTACTAAACATCGCTACTGCATGAGGAATGAAACAAGTCTCTCTTGGTTTGATCAGTTGGTTGTCATAGATTTTTCACACAACTCGGTCGAACAGTTTGAATTAGAACAGGAAATAGCGATAATTATCGGCCAATATTTTTCTAAAAAATACATCGAATCAATTGAATACAGTATCGTTACATGGCACCAAATAGAAAGACAATTGAAACCAATACAAATGAAACAGTTGATCGATAATGTGCAGTTGCTATGCATATCGCTGGTAAAGTCAAACTTGATGAGGTTGGATTAATGAATTGACCATCGGTAATCGAGCTAATCCACGTTTGATAAGCAGCTATGCGAGTGTAACTACCGGCATAATACGGTCGAGCACAACCAATGCCACTGCTCGTTGCACCAACCAAAACCCATTGTTTGCTAGAAGTGAAAGCCATCAGAGAGCCACCAGAATCGCCTTGGCACGTGTCTAGAACAATGAAAAAAAAAGTTTAATCTCGGATAGATTAAGTAGAATCGAGAACATATACCTTTGTATGGAGCAGTAGCACAAAATTGAACTGACCAATTCGCGATCACAGGAGAACATATCGATGACCAGCGATCAACCGTTTGCATCGTTACTTGTTGAAGTGTCGACGCTGTCAATCCATTTTCACTCAATCGACCCCAGCCTACAGCCACTACCTACAAGAATTTTCGTACAGTGGCACATTCAGACAGATTTTACCACTCACTGTTATTCCAACTGGAGGCCATTCGCCGGCTGATAATGTTATGGAACTGACTGATGGAAGACAAATGGTACTGACACTCGGATCAGTCATATTCAATGGAGTTGACAGATAAAGAAGAGCGATGTCATTGACATACGTAGATGGAGAATAGTGCGGATGGATCTTGATTGCTGACACCGATAAAATCTGACTGCCAGTCAGTTGCTCATTGGAACCAACGTAAACAGTGATTTGACTGGCATTGACTCCTCTAACACAATGAGCTACTGTAAGAATCCACGAACCCGCAATGATTGATCCGCCGCAGAGCGAGTTCTCAATACGCAGCAATACAGTCCAATCCAAGGTCTGAACACCAGCTGCTTCTCCTCCAACAATCTTGGTCAATATTGCTGATTTGGTCGAACAACCGCAAGGAGCACTTGAATTACATGAGTATGTTGTTGGAAAAGTTGATCCTATCATCATCAACAACAGAATTAAACTAAGAAACTTCATCATATTTGCCTCTTGTGTTTGTCGAGCAGAAAAATCACATGAAAGAAAAAGACAAGAATGAAAACATCCCTTCCCTAGCCCTATTCTCCATGATGTTTTGCATTTTTTCTCTTCTGTTAATAGATCTTTTCTTCTGTGAACATAAATTAAAAAAATCTATCTAGGAGTTCTCCAGTCGTGGTCTCATGACTGTTCGTGTGAATCCAGTTCGTTACTGTGCCTGACGTACGGTGAAGTCAGTTTATGGCTGAACAGCAACAACCAAGTATCTTTTAATGAATTTTCTCTTATCACAACAAATAGACAGACCTAATTTTATTCTGTATTCTCCGTGAAAATTTGAATTTTCAATAGTGATTTCAAGTGTTGCGGATTATCATGAAAATCATTATTCTAAGGATGAACTAAAAATTGTTCATCGTTGAAAAAATGACATGTACATATTGGTTATTGAGTTTTGACATGAAAACAGCATAATTTTTGTAAAAAGTTTTTGAAGCAACAATTTTTATTGATTATTTTCTTAGAGTACTATTCAAGTGTAACGACCAAGTAAACTTTTTGAAAGCTCATCAATAACTGTATGCAACTATATGCTTGTAATATTTTTTTTTATCTCACATTTGCAGAAAAGATAAATATATTCGTTTTATGCTCTATGGACATCCTCATATTTCGGGCTCATTCGTAGATCTTCCGAAGGAACAATTAGTATAATTTTATGTTTATTAAATTAAACATTCTCTGAAGAAATGGCGCATCATCCAACTGTTCATATTTCGTTGATGAATGTTCATCGAACTTGTCGGAACGTCTGTTAACCGAAAACTGGGCCATCAATTGTTGTTTCAATCTTTCAGCTGTGCTACAACATATTTAATCGAACAACTTACTCTCAGTTATGAGGACTCAAAGACACGTATTTATTTGATGGAAGTATGTAAGAAGACCTTGCACATGGTGATATAACGACCGATATATGAGTCTATCGGGGTAGTCGACTTCGATCGTTTTCTCTTTGCTTTTTCTTTCGCGTATAGCCACGGGCAAAAGTGTCATATAATTTAATAGCGAAAGATAGAGACTGAAACCCTATGTCACTGTGAAGCTTATTCTTTTCTCTACAATAACTCCTTCCTCAATGCTTTTCACCACGCAAGAGAACTGCGGATGAATTCGAAAACCTAGGAAGGCGATACCACACAAATCAAATGTCTCTTTCGTATATAGAAATTACTTCGCTCGATCTCGTGATGTGTTCTAGAAGAAAACACCAAAGGATTATAATTATGCATATCTTTTTCGAAGAAAAATAATTCTCAGATTATGTCAAAGCAGTGATTTTCACAACGACACTCCGGCAAATTTTAAATGCCAAGCGAAAAAGCAGGCTTTTCTAGAGAGCATAGAAAGATGCTAAGGCTATCTATTGACGAAACAAAACAAAGTATATTTATAGCTTTTTATTGTTAAACCAAAAAAAGGAGAATACTACGTTGATGTCCGTTTACTAATCTAAAGAAAGTCGAATAATCGCATAATTCATTAATTATTATTTCTGTGCCGAAATAAACTTGTAGGTGACATAAATATGAGTTCATCAGAAATCACATACCTGTGAAAGATAAACTGTTGTCACTAATACTGCGTGGACTCAGTTTCGCTGCAACTACTACTATAACAATGATAGTGACGACGATAATCACTGTAGCTATGGTACAAATAATACAACGTTTTTGATCACAACAGTCACAGCAACATTTACAGTGTGGCGTCGACGACGTTGATTTTACGGAGAAGACTTTTGATTGATGTCGTAGTCCTACCGATATGGGATATATTTGCATTTGATCTCGTTCTGGCATGTTACCTATGTTACTTCGTTCCAACACATTATCAATAGTAATGTTATTAACACCGAACGCCTCTCTTATGAATGAGCCTGTTAGATTGTCAGTAATAGATCGCGTGGCTTCCTGACACTCGTACATAGATCCATTACTAGCAGTGGCATGCGCGTAGAGAGGATTGGCTGTATCCGCCCTAGTACAACCATCATGAGACTGTTGTGCCATCAGATCACCGATTTGATCAAGCGAGAACTTGAACTGTTGTAGCCGTTACTAAAATGCTGAAGATTGAAAAATGATGAATGCATGGTTTACTTTGATTTTGTTGCAAATGGAATTTTGTTACCTGAAAAATCATACCTACCTGCAGCGACATGCTTCTGCATTGCTCATGAAAGTAAAATTAATTAAGATGACAAGTTCGCAAATTTATTGTGACGCAGTTCTTTTCTTTTTCTCTTCATTCTGTCATCTGCACCTTGATGTTTACGTACACATACCTATAATAGCATGCCAATGGCAAAATGAAGCAAGAGATTTTTATTTGAACGGTACACGATGACAGCGTCACCGAAGCAATTGAAAGCAGTGGACATCGTGATGGAGGTAAGAGTGATTGTGGGTGAATGGAATACACTTATACACAGCTACAACCTAAGTGGATTAGACTGATTGAATGTCAGATGATAGGATATGGTACCTCCCCTCATTGATCATCCACGCTCTTATAGACAAGCTTTCTACTTGATTTCTGCTCTCTTCAGATTCGAGTTATCACATGTATACAATTAAGCATCAGGATCCGCAAAAATCGGTTTCTTAATATAGTACAGGCTGCGTCACATTTCAAGATACTGAGTATGCAAATACTATTTTTATGGAGTGTTAATTAACTAGAGAAGTCTTGGAAGACATTTGATTTTCTTTGCACCATTATTAAGATGTTGATGTGAGTTTTGATGTAAATTTCTTCCTCACTCATAACCCGACAACTATATCATTGTATACTCTTGTAAATACTTCGCGAAAAACGACACAAAGCTAATTTATATCGAATAAATTTCATGAAAAGTCTATTTTTTTTTAGAGTGTAGCCCATTGCTACCATCAGATTTTTAGTGACTTCATGGACACGCTTCAAGTTCATACGCTTTTTCCTTAGCTTGAAAAAACTATTATAAATCAATTAAAATAATCTTTTTCAAGAATGAAGTTTTTATGAAGAAAATTCTAACTTCTTTTACAGATCACAATATAAATCCACAATTTCTTTTCATTTCAAAGATCCATGTTTCGCTCAATTTTCGTTCGAAAAGATTGATTTCTGTGATTACAAAACATCACAATCATTGCTGTCGAAAGAAAGGTTTTTTTGACATGTGAGTGCGTTTTTTCGTGTAAAACCCGAACAGACCAAGATTCTGAAATTCTGTCCAGACTAATGTTTGAGCATTGAAAGGGTTCGATTTATAACACCAAGTCCCAATACTCTTTTGGATTACGCAGTCTAGTAAAATCTTGATGCATTCATACTAAGCATTGTCTAAATTATGACTGCGACTAGATTTCCTGGACATGTTGGTTTGTGAGTTATTTTTAATCATCAAAGTCCTTGATCTTCATTCCAGAATGCTTTTACCTTCCAAAAACCTTTTCAGTGTCTATAAGCTCGACTAAACGAAGAATGTGCAGTTTTAAATCGTCATTCTTCATAATAGCTCGAAAGGAAATAAATGAAGTATACAAAATTGCGAATAAGACATGTGCTTTCATTGTGATACACTTGAAAGGGAAATCTTCATCATTCTTACTTATTTGATTGATTATAAGGTGCGAGGTTGGGCCTGTGATTTAAGTTGGATTTGTTTAATAGGCAAACAGGCGAATCATACGGACACACATAAGCAGATCCGTCTTCATCCACATCCAACTCATGCGCTCATTTCATACTTCGTCGCTTTTCCGTCACCCTATTTTCTCTCTAGTAATCCTATCGTTTTGTAAAGATTCCGAACAGCTTTTGGACAAATAGTTGTTGCCATTCAAGCGATGATCCATTTTTGGACAATATCGGTCGAAAGATCTGTATGGGGAATTACATCTGTGGTACCCTACTGAACCACATCTCCATTCTGTTGTTACCGAGCAACCTTGTAATACTCAAAGCTAATTACCAAAAAGGTCAGAAAGTCATGCTAGAGAAGCACAAATCCAAGAACTTGATGATTATTAATTAACGAATTCAACGTGTGAAACATATGACCACAATAAAAAACAAATCACTGTACTGTTGCCTGAATAAGCGAATAAACATCTTCCAGATCAAATGCAAGAATTGAGAAGGGCTTGTTATTGATAACAGTTGAATAACAATCATACCTCACATCTACAAATAGCCATTACGACTCAATAGCATAGCTGCCGAATTTACTCATAGCCTTACGTGTATCTTAAGTCCCTAACTATGCCTTTGATGCACAAACAAATAAAATCAAGCAAGATATTTTTTCTATGTAGGCTTGATGCAAACATTTGCCTTCGTCACGAGTTTATTTTATTTGTCTCAATCAAACTGATTCAAATAAAACGGAAAGAGATGTTGTCGTTCGATCTCACACAGGAAATGTACAATTCACGCATCGAAAATATCCATCATTCACTGTTTATTTTCAATAACCATTTATTATTTCAAACGCTACACTCGTTATCACGCTCGAATTGATCTTTAACTTTTCTCTGTATTGTTCAAAAAGGAATAAAACATAGTATCGAAAGAAAAGAAGTCTCTAATATTGAATCGACTATATTATTGATTAAGAAGCTACATGATTGATCTAATTTGTCCATTTGTGCATCCAACCTTGTACTTGTTCGTACCAGGCAAGAGAATTAAGTGGATTTAGTATCCAATGATTTTCGGTATGAAAATAGAGCAACCGACTCTCGATTCCACGACGTTGCAAAGCGTTAAAGGCACTTATTCCTTGAGTATCTGGAACACGATAGTCTCGAGCACCGAGAGTAATTAGCATTGGTTGGGTCCAATTTGCAACATGATTTACTGGATTATAACGTTCGTAAGCATCGGGATTAGCCCACGGAGTGTAGCCGCCTGCATCGTTTTCACTGAACCATAACTCCTCTGTGGAATAACCCATGGCTCTCATATCAAACAGACCATTATGAGAAATAAGTGTTTTGAAACGACGACTCATTTCTGGCTGTCCAGCAATCCAATAGATCATATATCCACCATAGCTAGCGCCCAATGCCACGGCTCTGTCCGGATCAATATAAGGAAACTTTTTCAGAGCATAAGTAAGTCCCAATTGAAGATCTTCAAAAGGTAATGAACCGTATTCACCTATAATACTATCTGTAAAATTCTGTCCATATGAATCGGAACCATGAAAGTTAATAGCAATGACAGCATAGCCTTGAGAGGAATATGTTTGAAAGTTCCATCCAAAGCCCCATACATCGTCCCAACTACTCTGTGGACCACCATGAATAAGAAAAGCAAGTGGAGCTCGTTTGCCAGTACCACTCGACGGCGGCACATGCCATCCCCAAACTTTGTCACCCCGAGCACCTGAAAACGAAAACGTCTCAGCCGTTGGACTTATTTTCACTTTGGTCAATAGAGCTTTGTTATGATCAGTGAGGGATCGCATTGATCCATCTGACGAATATAAATAAATATTGATTGGCTCGACGAAACTTTGATGAGTGAAAACAAACATTCGACTATTAATAGGATGAATATTGACATCGCGCGATGTACCAGTACTGACCAGACGAGTGAGTGATTCATTTGTGAATAAATCAAATAAGTGATAGATGACATTTCGTGCTTCTTCACCAAGTTCAAGAAAAAGAGATTGACCATCAAGAGACC